TGCATTATCCTTGTCAGAAAGAAAAAAAAAAAGCTTTCTTACTTGAGTTTCATTGTCTCTAGCACTTGCTGACCACTAGGTGGAGCTATTCCCATTTCTTCCCTCGGCCTTTCTGCCTGAATTTTAACAAATGGGAAAACAAAGTTAAATATATAAATTTCGTATACTAAGGAATATATTTAAATGCAAGGATTTTATGAAACTTAAAGGCACATAACTTTTTGCTACAACAGAAACTCTTAAAAACTACTCTTGCTTTTATCACTGAAAATTTCTTTCCATTTGAAAAGTTTCTTTAGTCTTCTAGTGCCTAGAAATATGCAAACTTCTTCAAGCAAAATAAAATTAAAATGCAATGTAGTTAAAAGCCAGGTTCTAAGATTAAATGCAATTTCCTACTAACCATGCTTAATTCTTTTTGTTTAAGTCTCTTTAGTAGATTTCAAAGGATATAAAGAAGTCACAATTATCAAATTTCCCTAATGTTGTTTGGCGCCATCGAGCCGGTTCTGACCCACACCAATCCCATTCACAACAGAGCGAAGCACTGTCCTGCCCTGCACCACCCTCAAAATGCTCGAGCCCATTGTTACAGCCACAGTGTCAAGCCATCACTGTGAGGGTCTTCCTCTCTCTCCCTGCCCTTTTATGTTACCCAGCATGGTGCCCTTTCCAAGGCCCTTCTCCAGGGACGGGGCTCTCCTGAAAATATGTCCGAAGTATGTAAGATTGAAGTCTGGCCATGCTTGCCTTGCTTCTAAGAGAAGCACTCTGGTCAGACTTCCTCCAAGGCAGACTGATTTCTCTTTTCAGCGGTCCATGACACTTTCAATATTCCTCTCCAGCACCGCCATTCAAAATGCATCCATTCCTTGGTCTTCCTTATTCAATGTCCAACTTCCACATGCTTATGAGGCAACTGGAAAAACCCTGGCTTGGCCCAGGCACATCTTAATCCTCAAAGCAATAGCTTTGCTTTTCAATATTCTTGAGGTCTCGTGCAGCAGGTTTGCCTCATGACACATGTCTTTTCATCTCTTGACTGCTGCTTCTATGAGCATTGATTGTGGGTCCTAATTCTTGGACAACTTCAACAATTTATCCATTTATCATGATGTTATTGGTCCAGTTGTAAGGATTTTGTCTCCTTTGCAGTGAGTCATAATGCATACTGCAATCCTTGATCTTCATCCGCAAGTGCCTCAGGTCCTCTTTGCTTTCAGCAAGCAATGCTGTATCTATTGTCTATATAATGCAGATTGTTAATAAGCCTTCCTCCAATCCTGATGCTACATTCTTCATACAATCCAGTTTCTCTGATTATTTGCTCAGCATACAGATTGAGTAAGTATGGTGAGAGGATACAACCCTGATACACACCTTTCCTGATTTTTAAACCAGGAAGCATTCCCTTGTTTGCACAACTATCTCTTGATCCATGTATAAGTTCTGCATAAGTATAACGAAGTGTTCTGGAATCCCCATTCTTCTCAAGGTTATCCATGGTTTATTATGATCCACATAGCCAAATGCCTTGGCATAATCAATGAAACACAAGTAAACATCTTTCTGGTATTCTCTGCTCTCAAACAAGATAAATCTGACCTCAACATTGGTATCCCTTGTTCCATATCCTTTTCTGGATCCGGCCTGAGCCTCTGGCAGCTCCCTGTCAATGTATGCTGCAATGATTATTGGATTATCTTCAGTAAAAGTTTACTTGCATATAATAGCCATGCCTTCGTTCTGTAGTTTGAGCATTTTGTTGGAACACCTTTCTTTGGAAAGGGTACAAATATGGATCTCTTCCAGTCAGTTGGCCAAGCAGCTGTCTTCCAAATTCCCTTGCATAGATGAGTGTTTCCAGGGTTTCATCAGCTTGTTGAAACATTTTAACTGGTATTCTATAAATTCTTGGAGCTTTAGTTTTGACTAATGCCTTCAGTGCAGCTTGAATTTCTTCCTTTAGCACCTTGGATCTTGCTCATCTGCTGCCTCTTGAAATATTGGGATATTAACTGGTTCTTTTTGGTGCAGTAACTCTGTATACTTTCCACTTCTTTTGATGCTTCCGGAATCATTCAATAAATCGTTCAGTATTACAACTTGATGCTTGAATTTTTTTCTTGAGTTCTTCCAGTTTAAGCTATGCTGAACATGCACTTCCTTTTTGGTTTTCTAACTCGAGGTCTTTGATCATTTCATTATATTCTAGAGCTGCCCTTTGAAATGTTCTATTCTAAAAAAAAAGGATGTTCGATTCTGCTCTTCGGCTTCATCATTTCTTCCATTTGCTTTGGCTACTCTAGGATTAAGAACAAATTTCAGAGTCTCTTCTGACATCAACTTTGTCTTTTCTTTCTTAATTGTCTTTTTAAATGACCTTTGATTTCTTCAGGAATGATGCTCTTGATGTCTTCTACATTACTGTTCAATGTGTCAAATCTTTCCTTAAGATGTTACCAAAATTTGGGTGGCATAGACTGAAGGTGGTATTTTGATTCTGATGGACCTATTTTAATTTTCTTCAGCTTTACACTGAACTTACATATGAGCAAGGAGCCCTAGTGAGATAGGGGTTATGCGTTGGGCTATAATCTTCAAGGTTGGCAGTTCAAAACCACCAGCCACTCCTTGGGAGAAAGCTGGGGCTTTCTACTCCCGCAGAGGGTCACAGCCTCGGAAACTCAAAGAGGGGCAGTTATACCCAGTCCTGTTGGGTCACTAGGAGACTGCACCGACTCCACGGCAGTGAGTTTTCATTTTCTGAGTGCATACGAGCAATGCATGGTCCGTTCCACAGTCAGCCCCTGGCCTGGTTTTAGCTGCTGATATTGGGCTTCTCCATTGGCTCTTCCCACAGATGAAGCCAATTTGATTTCTTTGTATTCCATCTGGGAAAATCCGTGTGTATAGTTGCCTTTGGTTGTTGATAACAGATATTTGCTATGAACAAGTCATTGGTTTTGCAAAATTCTATAGTACTTCCAGCTTCGTTTCTATCAGTAAATCCATATTTTCCAACCACTGTTCCTTCCTCTTTGTTACCAACTTTTGCATTTCAATAGCCAATAATTACCAATGCATCTTGATTGCATGTTTGATCAATTTCTGACTGAAGTCATTAGGAGAATTCTTCAATTCCTTCATTTTGTGGTTGGTGCGTAAATTTGAATAATGGTTGCATTGATTGGATGTTCTTGAAGGCAGATAAATATCCTATCACAGACAGCGTTGTACTTTAAGATTGATTTTGCAATGCCCATTTTGACGATGAATGCAACACCATTTTCCTCTTGATTGTGTCATTGTTGGAATACTAAAATGATGATCTCTGATTCAAAATGAGCAATATTGGCTTATTTAAACTCAATAATTCCTAGGATTATCTTTATGCGTTGATTTCATTTCTGATTATTTTCAATTTTATGAGAGTCATACTTCACACATTCTAAGTCCAAAAATTAACAGATTTTCGCATCTGTTTCTTCCTTCAAATCATTATTTGGTGAAAATGCATATGGTAAACGGTTCATACTGCAGAAGAAAGCAGGTGTGAGTGAACCAGCACATTTTGTTATTATGTTTAAATGAACAAATTGGGAACCCATGAATGGTGTCCTTTAAATCAGATTATCTTAAGTTTCAGTAGTTTATTTTATATGAATTCAACTTTAATAATAAAAGATGGTGCTTAGTATTTTGTATGTGATTTTGAAAGATTATAATTCAGGCTACATTGTGTTATGTATATAGGAACATAATTCATCTTATCTTTAGAAATAGTGAGTTAATATCTATATGCTACTGGATTTATTAGTTAAAAGTTACTAAATAAATGTATTAAATATGTTTGAATATTATCCATTTTCCCCAAATCCCAGCTGAACTAGACCTTACACAAGATTGTGAGAAATGAAAAATACTATCTTAAGATACTAAATTTTTTTGGTTGCTTGCCACACAACAAAACAATCTGATGATGCATGTGAGCACCACAATTGCCAACAATAGCAACAAAATAATGCTTTGGGGATGAATCTCATGATCTATGGAAAAAAGAAAAAAGGTGGTAGAATCCCACCCGCCTCACCCCTTTCACCCCGCAAAATGTGTTAGCATTCGCAGCACTTGTCCTATCTTCTTATAAACTGATATAGAAAAATGTTATAAATTGCATTGAAGTTATAAAGTTAGTGAGCAAATTTCACTCAAGCTACTACTACTGCCTTTAATTTTACCACAGAATAAGACCCATATATAGGTCATTTGGAAGCTGTAATGTGGCCTTGGTAAAATCAGGTATAATTCTGTCATAAATTTTCTTTTTATAGATACTATTTTCCTGACATCAGTCATTTTTAGGGTATTTAACAAGCAAGTTGGACCAAAGGCTGTAGTTCATTACCATCTCTCCTAAGATGAACAAAAAACCCAATCAGTTGACATAGAGCAGATTCTAACTCATGTTGACCCCATGTCGCACCATCTTCAGTGGCATAGTCAAAATAGGAAAGTACTGAAATTTGGGATGCTCTGATATTCAGATATCTTCGAATATAATTTGCTTTTTTCTAACTGGTAGAAAAATAAATAAACCCTAAATATTAATCCATGTATAGGCCACTACAGTCAAGTGGATTCTGACTCATAGTGACCTGATGTACAACAGAAGTAATGTTGCTCGGTCCTGTGCCACCTCACAATCATTGTTGTTTTTCAGTCCATCGTTGGAATCAGTAGTCAGTCATCTCACTGAGGGTCTTCCTCTTTTTCACTAACCCTCCCCCAAGCATGAAGTCCTCCTCCACGGACTGGTCCCGGCTGCTCACATGTCCACATAAATAAGAAAAGGCCTCAGCGTCTTTGCTTCTAAGGGCTGTTTGCTGTATTTCTTACAAGACAGATTTGTTTGTTCTTTTGGTACTTTGCGTTCTCCTTGCCAACACCATAATTCAAGTGCAGCGACTCTTTCCCATCTTCCTTATTTATTGTTCAGCTTTTTATGCATATGAGACAAATGAAAATGCCATGGCTTTGGTCAGACACATTTTAGTCCTTAAAGTAAAATCTTTGCTCTTGAACATTTTAAAGAAGTCTTCTTGTGCAGCAGATT